GCAAGTTTTTCTACCCTCCCAGCCACAGATTCAACAGTAGTGACCATGAATTGGTGTTATTCCTCGGAGGGGTAGTGTTGCACCAGCTTCTCCTAGGAAAAGAGGAAGGAATGGGAACCTGGTGAAGTAAGATGAGCTTTTGGATAAGCTGTGCCCACGGCTGCTGTTTTCAGTCAGGTAAGCAGGACGGATTTTTTGCTCCTGGATTTTTGTCAAGCATGAAGAAAGTAGAGAGCCAAAGTAGTTCTCTGATGGTTTTGGAAGTTTTTCTTCAATTAGCTCACCAGTGTTTAGTATGTCTAGAAACATTTGTCACAGTCTACCTTGGTAGCACTGCTGCCCTCTTTCCAGTGTGAGAGGCCTTCACAGCCTGGCAGAGCCGCAGAGTGCCGTGCCGCAGCCCGCACCTGAGGCACGGGAACAGGCAGGCCAGGGCTTGAGCTGTGGTGCCTTGTTACGAGCCAAACGCTGGCCTCGGTGTCTGCAGCTGAGCGAGGATTGAAGTTGCAAACTTGGAGCTGACGCTCTGCTTCGTGTGCTGGCACCGCACATCAGAACTTCTGATACAATCAAGTAAAAATATTACCAGGAGCCCAAATACCCTCCAGATATTTTGCTGTAAATTTCGTGTAGTTCAGTACAGGGTGCTGTGTGGGATGGCCACGAGCCCAGTGGTTGGCAGGGGTGGGCAGAGAGACCTGCTGTGCTGTGTTTGAAGGCGCCCTGTCCCCTCCACTTACTGTCATGAACTAACAGGATTCCTCAAATAAGAAGCAAAGTGACTTCGCTGGTCTTTCCAGTCAGCAGAGAACCTTGGTGCAGTTAGGGGAATAATGCTGTCTGGGATAAGATAAAATCAGTACACTGAGCTAGACAATGTCAATTAGAAGAGGTCCTGAGGCAAGTCCTTCCTGTAAGGATACGAAGATTGCGTCCCTGATGCCTGGACACTCACTGATGCAACACAGTTAGACTTCCTGATCATTTCCTCCATGGATAACTTAGGATAGTAAGCCAGGTAGAAGGCCAGTGCTCCCACAAAACTGTCTCCAGCTCCCTAGAATAAAATAACAAACAAGCTTAAGCGTGCTTGCACAGGGAAACAATTCAGATGTGTTTACTGGAAAGACAAAAGTTGCAGCGGTGATTGCCGGAGTCAGGAAATTGTTCAGGCATTGAGTTCACTTTTCTATGCCTAGGAAATTCTGCCATGGTAAACTAGTGCCACGATCCTGTCTTTGTGCCCAGCTGTTGAATGAAGGTACACATTATAATACAGCTTAAAACTTAAAGAAAAGCAAGTGTGCTATAGTTCAGCACATGCTGTTACAAACCGCTTTTGAAACTTCCTGTTGCTGGAATGTCTGATTTTGATTTCTCAACCTGAATGTTTCATTAAAACTGTTTTTTCTCATTTAACTTCTGTTTTTCATAAAGGGCAGTGGTAGAAGGGGCAGAGAAAAGGGGAAAAGAATAAACTGCGTGGCATCTGTAAATTCCTAGTTGCAGAATGATCATTTTGATGCCTCCAGAAGTTGTCTGTTGTTTGTTAAAAAGGTCCTGCTAGTGAAGGCAGCAGTGGCCCTCTTGGGCTACCCGTGCCAGGCTGCGTCTCCCACCAGAGCTGCCCAGTGCTCTCTGTCCACTGCCCTGCACGAGCTCTCAGCATGGAGTTCGCCTTTCCTGCACCGATACTGGTGTGACCCTCCCAGGTACCACTAGTCCTGCTCTGATCAGCAGGGGATGACAACCATTTGCCTCGTCACTGCTTTTTAAGACTAAATGTTGTTTTGTGATGCTCAGGGCTCTGTAATACCCCCAGCAGCTGGCAAAATGAATAATTTTAACTTGATTTGCTCATATCATTCCACAGTGTCCCTTCCTCTTCCTCCCCTAAAACTGGCTTGACTTCTAAGGCCAGACTGATAACGATTCTTGTCGGTGCCATAAAACTGGTTCTAAGGTCTCCTTCTCTTAATCATACATTTATACCAGTAAAAGCGTTACAAGGGAGACACTTACAATATTTAACTCAAGAACCAGCATATGGACTATCTCTCCTGAGGAGTTTTGCCTCTACAGTTGTAATAAACAGGCCCCAGGAGTGAGAGGATGAGAGCAAAAGGCCTGGAAAAATAGTTGAGCAAAGTTTCCAACTGGAAGTCAAGGCTAGGAAGTAATTTTCCGATTTTGCATTCTCATGCTTCTCAGCGTTAAACTCGTACTTACACTAAATTCACCTGCATATAATATCATTCCAGCAAAACAAACAAACAAACCACTTCCACAGAAATTTGTCTGAACGTTACAAGCAGCTGACAGGGCAGAGCAGCAATGGCATTGTGAGCAAACCCTAAAGGGGGTGAGGGCAGGATACGCCCTGGCTGTGCCGCTCTCTCCTCGCCCAGCCCTTCCACAGCAGCTGTTTGCATTGGTGTTCCCAGCCAGGGAACTCCCTGCTTAACTCTTGCTTAGCCCAAAGCATGGACGCTCTCTTCCATTGCCTTCGCAGTGGGGTACGATGGAGAAGGTTGTCTGGCAAATTACATGTTAATAGGCGAGGTTGTACCCCAGCACACAGCTGTAGCAGCACCTGTTTCAACAGTTCTCTGTTTCTGAACATGGTGGGGGGCAGGTGAAGGTTTTTATCAATTTCTGTTGGGCTTTTGTCTCTCTTCTGGTTTCCAGCGTGCTCCCACAATGGCAGGTGGAGCAGGAGCAAGTGACTGCTAGTTAAGCATTGCCAGTGTCTTTTGTCTGATGCATAATACAAAAATCTCCAGCCCATCTCAGAATTTATAATCTAATCAGCACAGGATTAATTATTAAAGCTATTCTGGTGCTGCTGTTAACAGACAGAAGTAGAACTTCAGTGAGCAGATCTGTTGTGCTATAGCTCTAGCAGGAAGAACTCATCATTTTTACATCAAATATTTCTCATATAGCAATCACTGGGTATGGAAGTGGCCAAATATTATTTTAATGAGGAATACTCAGAATATCTGGTGTCAAACAGCATAAACTATTACCTGTCAGCAGCAAGGAGCACTATACTGTCTTTTTGATCTTTTTTTGATGGAGGTAACTAAATACTGCCTCAAATAATTGCTGCAGTGTTTGCTACCGGAGCAAAAAATGGCTGACTGCACCTCACCCACGTCTTAGTTTGGATGATGGTGAGATGGAACATAAATTCATCCTTCAGCGTTACCGTGCCTCTCCACTCGTGGGTGATGCGCTGATGTTGTGAGACAGCTGTAGGTCTCCCTTTTGGCGAGGCTGAGCTATGTTAAATGACTACAAAGATGAAAACGGGGGTGAACAGCAGACTTCCACGCAAGAGAAAAGATTATGGGATAACTGGAGAATATACAGAAGGATTTGATGCCAGTAAACTTTTGCTGAAATCCTTACTTCCCAGACAGAGACTGAAGCAGTCCGTATCTCTAATGCTTAGCTACTACAGACCCTAAGGATAATATCGATTCAGTTGTTGGTAAGCAAACGTCTTGGGGGGGTGTTTTCAATACAGGAGCTGCTACACTGGAAACAGTGGCACGTATCAGACCAAGTATGTAGACGCCCTGTTCGGGCTTGCTTCTGGTCTGTGTAGACACAACTGGTCAAACATGACTTAAAGAGCAACAGCAGAAGGGATTCAGCTGCAAAGTTTGCTGCAATGAGAACTATTTTCAGCCTACAGAAACAGACCTTCCCTCTTTGGTACTGTAGATTAAACTGCATTGGGTTTGGTAGATTTAGAAAAGGCCAGCACAAAGCAGAAGAAGGAACAGGCTCTGAGTAAAATCAAGATTATCCAAACTCTGGATTGGCAAATATTAGCTTTACATTTAGCTGTTTCAAAACTTGCTACAAAAAAAACCCCAAAACCTACTTAGCAAAAATAATTAATTTTCAAAATGACAAGCAAGGCATATTTATTCTGTCCGCTGACAAAATATAAACGCAGAATATGTTAATATTTTACATTCTTCAGCATTTGTCTTCCAGGAATCCTAATACATTGCAGACTTTGAGATATTCCTCATATCCTTGAGTGCCTGGAGACAATTCATTCCATAATTACAGAAATATAACTTGTTTAACCTTTCCTCTAAAGCAGGAGATGCTAGTTTGTATGAAATAAAATAAGAATTTGATCAAAAAAAATGTGTGATATGGCATGGCTAGTTCCAAAATGCAAATGCTACGGTTTTGACTAAGTTTTATGGGTTTGAAGCAGTTTTGAAAACCTATTTATATTCTGTGCCACTAGTCTGGAAGGTCCTTGTTTTCCTGTGTGTCTGGAAAAGGGCATTTTTGTTTATTACAACCAGCACTGATTGAGATTCTGCGCCTTTAGAGAAGAGAAAACCCATGAAAACACTTCTATTTTTACCTTATCTTTTGTTAGTCCTGATTTGTCAGAAGCTGGTTCACAACTTTATTATAACTATTTTTATGCAATGCTGCCCTGAGAAGCTTTTTAAGGAAAGTGCTTTGTAAGTGGAAACTATATTGTTCAATGGTCTTTCTAGCGAGTAAAGCACTTCTCAATCCGTCATGCATAGAATAATAGGATGCATTTCGCTTATACAATAAGGTGACTTGTTCACGAGAAAAATTTGGAGGCCAAGAGGCCAAAAAACCTCCATTCGCGGTGTTGCAGTGGTGGCACTGCCTCCTCCCAGAGCAACCCCTTGCTCAGCCTTCACCCTCCCAGCCTGTCCTCTTGGGCAAGACTAATGGCAACCATGTACGAACAGGAGGGGGGTCTGGCTCCTGAACCTCAGAAAACTTTCCTCAGGTGATGTTTCAAAAAGTTACACCCCATGTACCCTCTGTGTATTACAGGGATTTACTCCATTAAATACATTGTAGGAGCAAGTCCTAAAAGGAAAGATGTGTTATATAGCAGTACAAGAGAAACAGTAGGCATGCTGCAAGACTAAGTTCTTTGTTTAGTGAATTAAAAAAAACATCAATCCAAAAGCTGTCACAAACTGCATTAATATGTAGAATCAATGATGATGCTTGCAACAGTGCTTATAGTCTCCTAGAAGCATTCACAGCAGCACACAAATCACAGAATCACAGAATGTTAGGGGTTTGAAGGGATGTCTGAAGATTATCTAGTCCAACCTCCCTGCCAGAGCAAGATCATCTCGAGTAGGTCACAAAGGAACATGTCCAGGCAGGTTCTGAATGTCTCCAGACATGGAGACTTCACAACCTCCCTAGGCAGCCTGTGCCAGTGCTCTGTCACCCTCACAGTGAAGTATTTCCTTAAGTTTAGCTGGAATCTCCAGTTTTCCAGTTTGTGACCATTGCCTCTTGTCCTGTCACCAGACACCAGAGAGACGAGTGTGACCCTATCTTCCTGACACCCACTCTTTCGATACTTATAAACATTAATGAGGCCACCCCTCAGCCCCCTCTTCTCCAAGCTAAAGAGACCCAGCTCCTTCAACCTTTCCTCATACGGCAGATGCTCCAGCCCCCTCACCATTTTAGTGGCTGTGCTCTGGACTCTCTCCAGCAGTTCCCTCTCCTTGAATTGGGGAGCCCAGAACTGGACACAACACTCCAGGTGAGGCCTATGAACAAACCCTGAGGATGACGCTGATTAGGTGCAGTCTAAACGCGCGGCAATGCAGAGATCCCCGGCTCTGTCAAAGGAACTTGGAGAATTCCTGTTGTATTTATAGCACTCCATAACCGTGTGATACTGGATTCTGCTAAAGATGTTATCACTGTGTCACATCTGCTCAACATTCCTTGCTGTACCCTTGCCTACGCTGTACCCGCATGAGAAATTAGACCCACGTAATGCAAAAATACCTGTCAGCGAAGATGCTCGCTATCTGTTCCTTGTATGAGGGGAGAGCCTGTGTCTCCCTACAAGAATCCCTGGGCTGTGCTTTGATGAAAGGTTACTAGTGGATCTGGAGAAACATTTCCAGCCTTCGGGATATATTCAGATACTCTTGTGCCAAGAGGGTCTATGTCTCAGCTAAGAGATAATTTCAGCTGAAAGTCTCAGGGAGTAAAATATCC